AAAAAAAAACTTTCATGTTTTCCTTCAATTACAAACGTTTTTATGCACTTTCTACATTTATAATGCAAGAAAGCATATTGTCAAGGGGTTTCTGTGTGTCTATCTATCTGTCTGCTTGTGTATCTGTACCGAGCTTTCATCTCGAGGCTTACAAAAAGTACAAGGTTGGAACTTTGACAAATTAATCTACATGCATGTATGGGCTCCTATCCAATTTATGCTCACTGGTTTCCGCAACAGCTTTTTGGAAATTTTTGGGGGTAAGCTGCTAACTTGAAAACCAGAAAAGCTAGGAAGCTGAAACTTTAAGGGGATGTTTTCTGGCAGTCGTGGTGTCCAGTCTCAATTCCTTCAGTTAGAAGCATCTGCCGGAAAAATAATGTCGTTATCTGCAAAAGCCAGCGAGGAACTGTGCAAAAGAACGCATCAAAGTACTGGCAGTCCGCACCCTGGCCAATTATTTTCTTTAAAATTTGATGTAACTTTGCAACCAAAGCAACTGGAGTGCTGAAAATCTTTTAGCATGACTCATGACATTCACGCTTCTTTCACGCATCAATACATTAAATTTGACGTAACTCCGCAACCGAAACATCTAAAGTGCCGAATTTCTTGGAACCGGGCCACAATCAAGCTCAATGGGAGACACTGTAATAATTTGTCACAGTGTGGTGGCCAGCCTCAATTTATTCAGCTAAAAGTACCTACCGGAAAAAACATGCCATAAAATCAGCGATAAAAATCTGCAGGGAAGACTCCGCAATGGCAGTCAGTGCTAGTAGTTAGATCGGTTGTGTCACGCTTTCTTTTTTCTAAAACGAAGAACAAAACAAGTTAAGACGAAAAGGACCTCAGTAGCGATGAATGAAGTATCAGCTTCTTTCTTATCTTCATTGAGTTCTTTTTCCAGCTCCTTGTACAGTTCATTCGAGAGTAAGTCACCAAATGTTTCCGAAGTTATGCGGCCTTCTGAGGTAGGCGAAGTGCTAGGGGGGATAGTGGCAAAGCTAGTCATGTGCTGGTGATCCTCCTCCTCAGTACCTCCGCTTTTTTCCAATGTACTCTTCAGTTCACTCCTATCGCCAATTTGGATTAACCTGCTTTTTGGTGAACTCGCAAGCTTTAATGTTATAGAGGGCACTGACTGTGGCAGCGTCGTGCTGGATTCCAAACCGACTTCATGACGAGGCGTATCATTGTTCGATTTATCAAGGGTTGACGAATTCGTTGAGGCTGATAATTTTATCGCTGCAGTACCTTTTGCATCCGGAATTTGAGTGTCCTCAGAAACCGTAAGTTTTAATTCTTCAGAAGCATCTTCTTGATCCAAACTACCAGATAATTTAACAATGCCTTGGGATGCCGCGCTCAGGACGTTAATCGGTTGTAAATAATTTGGCAGCGAAGTTGTGGAATGAGTGACCGCTAATGGATGCACCATCTTCTGACTTACCGAACTGGCCAGTGAGCTTTCCGTGCTTTTGTGTGCTCCGCTCTGGTTTTCTACATTGTTCTCAATTTGTTCACCAAATAAACTGCTGAACAGTGCTTGATCTTCCAGACTAAGTGAAGATTGTGTAGGCTCCCCAGCAGAATTTTTCAGCGAAAATACGATAGCACTTTTGTTATCACCAGCAACAAATTCGTCACTTCCCGCAGCCTGTGCCAATTTTCCTGGCACTGCTGTTGTTTCCTGTACATTAATAATGCTAGGCAAAATTTCCTCAAACAAGGCTAACTGGGGTTCTTGTTCAGCGGAGTTTTCGTGCGGATGTGTTTCCGGCATCTCACTTATTTGCTCTCCAACTGCAATATGCGATACTGGGACATGCCATGCTCCCAGTTCCTGCATTTGTTCGTCTAGGATCTCTCGGTCACCAATTGGCATAAGATAAGCACGATTTGGAAGAGTACCATGCAGTGCTCGGCCTTCCGGCTTCACTTTTGATAAAGTGCTAAGAGGGATTGGAATTGCTGTCGCAGTGAGGTGGCTCTGCATATTAGTCATGAAGAGTTCGTTCTCCGTTGACTGATCAGAACCATCGTCATTGCCAACGCGTTTCGCAGAAGTATCTGACTGCCCATTGCCGTTGTGCGTAGATGCAGCAACAGCCGCAGTACTGGTGCTGCCGAATCGTGGAGTTTTGTTGGTGAAGATCAGAAGCGGAGCAGTAGTCGTTGTTATTGCAGAAATTGGCTGTGCCGTCACCAGTGGCTCGAAGGGCAGAATACTTTCTGAAGCAACAGATGATTGGGAGGTATCGCTTGAAATACCAACTGTCTGGAAACCTATACCTTCGGAAATTTGGCTGTCCGTAGATGGAAAGCCAACAGTTACCTTCCTTTCCGAAACAGAAGCAAAACTTCGTTGACTATCAGTTGCATTTGACCGAAAGCTCTGCCGGAGTGAAAATTCTCGCTGGGAGGTGAAAATCGGTGCAGAAGTGCTGAAGGTGTGTTCTGAAGGTCCAGAAGTAAATGGATATTGTGGTGCCAAAGTTATGTTACTTTCGACAGTACCTTTCGTGTAAAACCTGGAATAATCAAGAATGTGGCTTGAAGCGAGATGATCGTATCGAAAGGTATTTGCTGGACTAATGTTTGGTGCGAAAGTTGTTTGCTGGATCGATAAACTGGCTCTTTCCTTTACTGTACTTATAGTCTCTTCATTAATGGTTTCATCCAACCCGAAGCCTAGCGAATCCTTGTCTTCAACAATTAAGCTCTGTGCTGGCTGCGTCCAGGATTCTTTTTCTTGACTCACAATTTTCTCCTCTTCTTTGGAGAACTCGTTATGTCCAATAAAAGCATTAGTTCTTAGTGTTGAATCCATGATTCGATCCTACAACACTGTTATAATGAAGCGTCAAAGAAAAAGTTTGTAAAATAGCATGGTATTCTTGATGTAACTTAAGCGTTTTTGCAAATCGAAGCGGATCGCATCTACATGATTTACCTATGCTGCCTGTATAGTTTTGTTTGGTACAACTCCACAAAAGAATGCATGAAAACTGATTTCCAGCTTCATAGGGTTCCCGGTGTTATGTTGGAAAAATTCTAGTTTTTAGCTTTCGTAATTCTGAAGCTGAATCACTTCGAGAAGTATAGGCGTGATTTCGCCGTAACATACTTTTATATTTTAAAAAAAAGCATAAGAAGCTGCAAACGATGAATGGTTAATTTTAGTAATGTTTAGAAATGATTTACGTTTTAGCTTCAAAGTAAAATTTTCATGACGAGAGCTTACTTTGAATTAATTTCTCGACTAATATAAAAATTGTTTATTCTTGGATAAAAAAGCACTGCTTTTTCCGGGATTTAATCTAGTAATTTGGTACAAAAAAATAGAAGCACTGAGGTACACTTCTTTTCATTTACTGATAATGTATTAGTCGTTATACATTGTTATTAGTCGGCCTATTCGTCGCTTCCACTGCTGCGACGGTTGTTTGGCTTTGACGGAACGTATCAAAGAAATTTCTTCTATTTTCCAAACCACCCGGAGAAGTGTCGTTACGAGGTAATGAATCCGTTGTTTCTTGAGGATTATCCACGGTCCGCCTAGCTAGCATCGTTGTTTCTTCTTCCACTTTGCCGCTGGTACTCTGCAGTTAAACAAAATATATCCATTTCTTCAGCGTAGTAGGCGAATGCATTAATGTTTTGTTCTTTTTCCGGAAAACATGATAGATTTCTGGCCATACACTCATGAAATTACTACTATTTTCAGCATCTATATTGTTTTTTGGAATATTTTTGTCAGGAAAATAATCCCTTGAGTTGAAGCAGAAGTCAGAATCATCAACAGTGGGATGATCACAAGGCAATGCGGAATTAGTCAAAACGATGGGAAAATTACCAGTCTCTAAGTTGGAAAATCAGGCTAAAACTGCGTTCGATCAAAGTATCAAAGTAAGCACCAAAGAAAAAGCTTGTGCAGTACTTTTTTAGTGATTTTTGGCTGATTGCTGATCACTTCGCTTACGATGCCTTTTTCAAGATCAATTTTGAATGATATCGGGTTCTGTTTGCTACCCAATGGTGAACTATCTTTTCCTGAAAAAATGAACTTACATTTTAATCTTTCTGATATAACTCACGCAGATTTAACATACAAATAGAACCACAAAGAAGCTTTATCGGGATTAAAGTGAAATGTACTATGTGATTACTGCACTGAAAACAAGTTGTTCTAAGAAAGCTACTTCACGCAAGACGACCTTGGTAAAAGTGTCCTTAACAAAGTTCATTACGTAAAAGGTGTAGACTGGGAGGGAATCGGCACTGTCGTTTTCATTATCTGCGGATTCTTCGAATCATGTATTGCTATCTATTATTCTATCCTCAACTCCTCTTGCAAAAGAGATTATTTGGAGTACGGCAGCGAAGTAGTGATCTTGGCAGCTATCAGGGAAGAGTGACGGATCAAATGTCTGGTGATCATTTACTATGTAACAGGGTAGTAACTGAGTATAAGCATTCTTTTAAAATCATTGTGCAAAATTTCTACATAGATGGAGAAACAAATTATGAATAAACAGATGCCAAGATCAAAGTTAAAAAACAAAACTTCCTCGGCTATCCAGAGAGATGGAGTTACTCGAAAAGTGTCCGAGTACAGTGGTGCTAATTAATAGATGTATTTCAGGTTTATTTGTTTTTATTCTTACCAGGATATCACTCGACAAAGAGATATCTTGTGTCAAAATATTGCTACAGCTACTTTTATACAAGACATACTTGAAAGGTCTAGAGGTCAAGTTACGAGGTTATCAGAGATGCCGATTCCCTGTTGCACTGGCGGTAACAAGGAAAACAAGATTTTTTTTCCGGTAGCGATACATCAAGCTTTTGCTAGTACGATCATGCGTTTTGCGCTAAACTTGAAATAGTCAAATCGTTAACAGTATAATGGTTGATGCCTTGCAGTTTAATACGCAGACTCACACTTGCTGTGTTTTCACCTTTTTATGCGTTTTTTTACAGCTGTGCAATGTAGAAAACGCATATTGACGAGGGGTTGTCTGTGTGTGCGTCTGTCACTGTTTTTCATCTCAAAGCCTACAAAAGCTATAGAGCTGAAACTTTGAGAACTTAATCTACATGCACGTGCGAGCTCCATTCCTCAAAATGGGCGCTCTTACCCGCGTGGTACCCAAGTACGGGCCTACCAAAATTTTTTTCTGGTAAGTCGCTAACTCGCGAACCAGAAAAGCTAGAAAGCTGAAATTTTGGGAGATGTTACCCGTCCACGTAAATTTCCTACCAGTCCAAAGCCTGCCCTCGGGCATGTGTGATACCCACGTACGGGCCCGCCAAAACTTTTCGGGTAAGTTGCTAACTCGGAAGCCTGAGGAGCTAGAACAGATGTTTCCAGGCAATCCTAGCAGCCACTCTGAAATTCTTTTAGCTAGAAGCATCTGCCGGAAAAACCAGTGCCGTTAACGACAAAAATCTGCTGGGAGCTATGCGAAAAACGCATCTTCGCACGGGCAGCACGTGCGTTGGCCAATTGTTTTGTATGTAAAGGGGCTTCGATTGGGAAGGTAGTGTTCATCATGTGGGTGCATTAAAACTTGCCACCAATATGCTCAATTGCTATAAATTTTGCATGAAAGGAAGTGAGTAATCTGCTATGTACAGTATTAGCTTCACTGCTTTCGATATCTGTATACTGCCATTTCGCTAGATTTTTAACGCGCAAGGTAGTTATAACGTATCTTCGCCATATAGCGTAGCTACAAATTATGACGTACGTGCGATTCGAAACTCCATGTAGACATACTTTTTTCGATATAGACGATAGACTGTTTTCCAGCAAATTTTTGAGCTAGCATGATATTAGCTGTGATTTTGAAATGACTGCATGCGTGACGCAATATGTACGACAGTTAAATTCGAAGTCATTAGTACACACACGGACATGTATTCCTGCAAAATTTTGACTCCCCAAGTTTGTCGTTCCCGAAATTGTTTCTCACTAAGAGTTTCACATAGTTTTTGCAGGTATCCGTACGCGAGACCTAGATGCGTTGATTTTAACCTGAGCTACGGCATACCAAGCTGGGCAGTGCGACCTTGTGTTTTTGCACTAAATCTGAAGCAATCAAGTCGTTAACTGTATGAATATTGGTTTCTTTACATTTAATTTGCACAATCATTATTGTAAATTTTGCATAAAGGAAAATAACAAATTTTCATTGACCGGTCATTCATTGGAAAATGACCTAGCTATTCTGGATCCCAAGTTAGCAATGTTCCGACCAAAAGTTCCATATTTCTGTACTTGAGGACCGGGAATACTTACGAACTGAAACTGAAATCTTTAAATCGAACGTGGGGGTGGAGGGGGGAAGGGGTGGGATTTCTTCTAAAAATTCCAACTTTCTAGCTTAACTGGTTCCGGAGTTGGTGATTCTCCGCCAAAAACTTCGCTTACGCGTACTTGAGAGTTGTTCGCAATTAGGAGCCAAATTTGAAATTTTTAAGTTGTATGTGAAGAGGGTAAATTTCCTTAAAATTTCACTTTCCAACATTTCTGGTTCCCGATTTAGCAATTTCTCGCGGAACCCCCATATGTCCATAGGTGGAGTTCAACCGTACACGGAAGTTGGTACCACGTACCTGGGAGAGGGCGTGACTAGGGAAAGCACTGACAAAATTTCAACCGTAAAGCTTGCCTTGTAACCGAATTGAAATGCTCGGATAGACACACAAACAAATATATACACACATACACAAACACACACAAGCACATACACACGCCAAGAGACATCACAAAATGCATGTTTGATTTGCATAAATATCTAAAATGCGTAAGATGGGAGGTGAAACATGAGGTGGGAATATGTCCCTACATTTTCAGGCTCCCATCTTCCCTGTCTGCTGGGTTGAAAGTTGGTGACAAAGTTAACTCGCCTCCGAACATATAAATACACACAAACACACGCACAAATAGACAACCTCTTGGCAATGTGTTTTGTGCTGCAATAACTGCAGAAAACACATGTTGTCTAGACCCTATGTGTGTGTGTGTTTGTGTACACGTGTGGTCCGAGTGCATTTTGTCTGGGTTTTCAATTCGAGAGCCAGAGAAGCTAAAAAGCTGAATTTTCTAGCTGCCCGTGATCTCGCAAACTCAAATTCAGTGAATGCTTGGCCTAAGTCTCTGATACGGTCATGTAAAAGTTTTGGCGCTTAAATTAGTGACTCAGAAGCCGGGAAAGCTAAGTTCGAAATTTTTAGAAGGGTTTGAAATATTTAGGTCGCTTATTGGCGTAGAACACCTTTGTAAAGTTTCAGCCTCTCAGCTCGAATGGTTAGCAAAATCGCTATCTTTAACTTGTACAAAAAAAAAGGAGGCACGTAGGCCTACACCAAAGTTCACTTTGCATCTTCTACCCACACATGGGAAAAAATATTCCTGTAAAGTAAGAGTGCCGCAATCAGTTTAGTTCCCCAATTGGCATTTTACCAGCGATGAAGAGATCTCAACTTTGTAGTATCAGTACCCGCGATTATTTTTTAAGAAAATCTCACATGGACGTTTCATGTCCTTGCGTGAGCCAAAGATTTAAAGTTCAGCGCATTAAAGCTGAATTTTAAATCTTTAGTTCACGCAAGGACATGAAACATTCATATGGGATTTCGGCTTCTTATCTGCTCTGTTTCCCGAAACAGCTTTCCGAACCAAAAATTTGCATAATTTTTTAGGCGTTTGAACGTAAGACCCACATATAGACGAATATTGATTTTAAGCTTTTTGGGGAGTGCGTGAGCTAGAAACATTTTTATGAAGTTCCAGCTTCTTAGCTTGTACTGCTGCTGAGCTAA